TCACGCAGGCCGAATTTTTTGGATGGAATGCAACTCGATGGGTATAATGAAGAACTACAACTAGCATTCGAATTCCAGGGATCCCAACACTATAATCTTAATTCAATGTTTCATAGGAGAGGCCAGATAGACTTGGAGCAACAAAAAATCAGAGATCAAAAAAAGCGAAATATATGCAAGGAACGAGGTATATGTCTTATTGAAGTTCCATATACAACTGATCTTCTGTCCTATATCAGACATATTCTAATCGAGAAAGGGTTCTTGAATAGTTCTTCCAGTTAGGTTGAATAGAATTATTTCTTGTCAATTTTCTGAGACCACGCGATCCTGCAAAATTGCAAGATTATTTTAGAATATTATTAGTAATAGTTCGACATGAAAATAAAGAAACTTGAGCCAGTTGAAAGGCTTGTATACCATATTAATGAAATTAAAGATGCCAAAAAATTAAAGAATAGCTGGTTATGGTAAAAATATATTGTTTTAACTATGTCTAACAAATTATCTTTAGATGATGCAATTAGAATAGCTAAATCTCATGAAGTGATGTGTCTTTCTGAAAAATATATTAATAATCGTATTCCAATGCTTTGGAAATGCAATAAAAATCACCAATGAACTGCTTCATTTGATTCTATTAAAAATCGGCATTCATGGTGTCCCTATTGTACGAAAAAAAAGCTTAGCATTTCAGTAGCTCAAGAATTGGCACATGCTAAAAACGGGAAATGCATTTCAGAAAAATATATTAATAATAGTTCACCTCTCTTATGGGAATGTGCAAATAAACATAAATTTCATCTCTCTCTTGGTGATGTTAAAAATCAAGGAAGTTGGTGTCATGAATGTATGAAACTTGGACTTGAATTCGCCCAGAATCTTGCAAATGAAAGAGATTGGATATGTCTTTCAGATTCTTATCATAATAGACGCACTCCACTATCCTGGAAATGTTCAGAAGGGCATTTATGGCTTGCTCGAATTGATAGTATTCAAAGAGGAACTTGGTGCCCATACTGTGTACGTGAAAAAGCAAGACTTGGTATTGAATATGCTAAAAAGCTAGCAAATAGTAAAAACGGAGAGTGTTTATCTAATGTATATACCAACTGTACAACAACTTTACATTGGAAATGCTCCAAATCGCACGAATGGTATGCTTCTATTAATACTATTAAGAATAATAACTCTTGGTGTCCATATTGTGCTAACACAAAACTTGACATTTTAGTAGCTAAAGATATTGCATATAGTCGAGGTGGGGAATGTTTGTCAGATTCTTATATCGATTGCAAGAGTCATTTACTCTGGAGATGTAATAAAGACCATCAATGGTATGCTACCCTTTCTCAAGTAAAGAATAAAAACACATGGTGCCCATATTGCTCTAAATATAAACGTGAAAGATTGTGTCGAGAGATTGTGTCAAAATATCTTGGACCGCCATCTAAGATACGTCAACCTGATTTTCTCAAAACCCCGAAGCATCCAAGTGGATTACATCTTGATATTTATTATCCACAATATAGTTTAGCAATCGAAGTACAAGGAAAGCAACATAAGCATTACATTGAACATTTTCACCGAACTTTAGAAGGATTCAATAATCTGCTAGCTCGGGATCAACTTAAGAAAGAATTATGTGAAGAAAATCAGATTGTCCTAAGGTATGTCTGGTATTACGAAGATCCGCATATAGTTATTCCAAAGCATCTTCGAGAATTGGGTCTTATAGAATAAGATAAAACTTTAAATGTTTGTGTTTCACTAAA